ATTATGTTGATCGGGGGGTGATCTACTTTAATGGTTCTGTATTATATTTGTTATAGTATATGCTCCATTATAAAAAAAAAGTGTCATAGAAGTATCGTTTGATTGAACAGTAAAATGCGCATTTAACTTTATATGAGCACTTGAGTACGTGCATTGCATGTATATTTTATATTAGTTATTATAAAACTTATATATGATAGTTTACCAATAATTAAAGATTCTTTACCAATATTATTTTATGAGAGTGCTAAATTTATTCAAAACTTTCACATTTTATTATAAAAAAAGAAGACTCCTACGCCTAAAAGGAGTGCAAAGTGTTCGACAATACCCTAATGTGAATTTGCAATATTTTTTTAATTATCCCCCTTTTTAATACGTATTTTACTTCTTTTTTGTTTCTTTTAATTTCCTCTCTATAATTTTTCTTTTTTTACATTTATTTAATTTTCTTTTGGTGAAAAAGCCCACTAAACTGGAGAAATAAAGAAATGCCTAGATTTTTGATTTAAATTTTTTTTATTATTTAATATTTAATGAGAATACACACATCTTAGATGTCTTGAAAATTTTAGAATTATACTTATCATTTTATTAATAAAAATGTATTCTTAAATCTACCAAGATGTTCGACAGCCAAAAACTTATACGAGAACTATGTTAATTTTTTTTTAATTTTATAAAGATTCTAACCCTACAAACTTGGACTTCTTTCACAAGTATGGTTGTATATCATCTTCTACAAATATGGTTATATATCACATAAGGAAAAGTTTAATACATCAAATTTAATTAAGTCTAAAGTTCTAAATATTAGAGAAATAATTAAAGTGCTAAATGTTAGGAAAATTATAAATTGACTGTCTTGTCCAATGTAACATCCGCGCGATGTGCGTGTACCTCATTTCAATGAGTATAAATTTAATTAAAGGGTTGTACTTGAGTTACAAAATAAAAAATGGTAAGTTCTTGAAGATGATTATGAATGTTGATAGTGTATAACTTTCTCATAAAAGTCCTTAATCACTAGTCAATAATTCAACTTAAATTTTGTTTCAGTCTTATAATGTCCTAACTACAATTTCACAAGTTATCGTGCTTCCTTTCAGTTTCAGCAAGAATACAAATCAATAGGCAATTAATAATCTACGAATTGTAAATGAACACAAAATTAAAGTGCAATGAAAATATAAAAAAAGACATAGTAAAGCAAACTCAAAAGTTACATGGAAGAAAATTAATATGGTTATTAAATATTATTTAAATAAGAACATAAGTTATACAGGGTTAAATTTTAAATGATCTCAAAATCCTAATAAATATAAGAACTTGGTTCAAATAAGGAGGATTTAATATATAAGATATTTAGTTGGAGCTCAAGTTTACTAAATATTAAGAAAACGACATTAACGAAATATAATTATTTTTACATGAAAAATGTATACCCAAGTGACTATTTGTTTTACAGGTAACCTAAAATACTAATGTCTTCCTGACAAGTAGTGATAGCTAACATTTAGCCTAAAATAATTTCTAATTTATAGACCTACTAATTATACTTATGTTACGTACATAAAACTGAATTTATGTAAAGCAAATATTAGAACTTTCATATCGATTTAAAGACTTAAATTAGGAATTAATAATTATTGCAAACAAGGAAAGATTTACTATAACCAAATTTTAGTTGGTCTAAAGTTCTAAATATTAGGAAAATAACTTAATTACAATTTTGTCCAGTACAAAATTTATTTTTAAAGGGTAAAAAAGACGAACGACATTTCGCTAAGGGCCTTCGTGCTTTTAATATAATTTAGATATAGATAGATTTGTTCAGGGCTTTAAGCCTTTTGAAAGCTTTTCCTCTTTTTTTTTAAACTTAACTAATAATTAATGATACCCACTATTAATAATTAATAATACTAAAATTATTAATANATATATATATTCACTATAGGCAAGAAAAATAATAATAATAATAATAATAATAATATAAATTAAATTCTATAATTAGCGTGTCTCGAAACTTTTATAAATTCGAGGAATGTTACATACATAAACACATATTATTGAGTATAACGTACTAAGTTACATAATACTTTTCTTTGGCATTCATGATGAGACTGGCACTAAAACCCATAAACTTCTTCAGAAAAATAAAGGAACAAGTTAGTCCACAGATTCTGACTCTTAATCTTCAGGTCGCCAAGCAGGTTAACACAATGTTTTTATGATTTTAGAGTGTTTCTTACTAGTGTATTGATGTTGCATCTATTGGATTAGTCCTTGTTGTATTATCTAAGTTCAGTAACTATCTCTAAGCAAGTAATAAGACATTTTCAATGATCAAATTTATTCATTTATGCACCGTTTTCTCTCTATGGATTAATACTTGCTATTTTTGGACAAAGATTTTGTCAACGTTAATATTCAAGCCGAACAAATCGAAGTTATCGTACCGAATAAACCGAAACTGGGAGAAAAGCCGAACTGAATCGAATTGAATTAAATACGGTATTGGTATATCACTCTAAGAAACTGAATATTGTAAATACTGAACCGAAATATCTAATTATCGTACCGTACCGTACCCATGAACACCCTTAGTGTTAGGTGATAAACAACAACAACAACAACAACAACAACAACAACAACAACAACCCAGTATAATCCCACTTATTAGGGTCTGGGAAGGGTAATGTGTACGCAGACCTTACCCCTACCCTGGGGTAGAGAGGTTGTTTCCAAATAGACCCTCGGCATCCTTCCCTCCAAGAACTTCCCACCTTGCTCTTGGGTAGACTCGAACTCACAACCTCTTGGTTGGAAGTGGAGGTTGTTTACCATCGGAACAACTCCTCTTGTCTGTTAGGTGATAAAATAAGGCAAAAATGTATAACTATCAACCACGATTATATGATAAAAGTTCTAATATTTGTTTAGTGCAAACACTAAGTACGATGGTGAATATACAAATACTATATATGTTAAGTATTTATTTGTATTTTTTTATATTTTACTCAGTGTCTAATACCTATTTTGGGACTCGATTAATTTGAATTCGCATGAGCACATTTATAACTGCCTCATCCAACCGCTTAACTAAAATAAATCGTATATATGAATCGATGGACTATTTGGGTAAAGATCCTAATTCTTTTTGAGGAATTTTCAGAAATGACTATTGTTTAGTTGCTATTAACTTCCTATAGCTATCATATACATAATTACTTTTCGTAGCTACCTTCCAGTTGTTATGGTAATGTATTCGATGTATTTGAGCTACTGTATTCATGAATACAGTAGAAAAAATCGGCTAAAAAATAGGACAGTCCAGTTGTCAGCCGCTATATTCACATGTATTCATACCATGTATTCATGAATACAACTTAATAATAGGTCTCTCAAGTTGTTTAATAATGGAAAGCTGCTAATTTGACGGGATAGACTCCCAATATAACTCACCTAAATCAATTATAACAGATAATATTATTAATCCAATTAATGAGAAGATTTATCATATGCTAAACACCAAAAAACTGAGCATTCTTCAGAGTTTCAGTTCCTCTTTTTCTTTCTAATACAGTTCGATTTTTTTTTCCTAACATTGTTTGAGGTTCTGCTCGGAATTGATACAAGTATCTACATAAATATTTTGAAATTCATTTTTCTGTATACGAATACATCATGTATTTATGCCAGATACAACCTGTGATAGTAACCTACTGCCTGCATATTTCATAATAAACCTAGTGCTTGTATTCTGTTGTATCTAACAATTGTGTTCAATATATTCAAGTTTATTTTTGTATTCATAATATTTTATTTATTCCTAATACATGGTATTACTGCTTTATTGAGTATATTTTATTGGTTGTATTCATTGATTTTCTATTTGTATTGAGAGTATTTTACCGTATTGTTGTTTTAAATACATATGAATANTATATATATATATATATATATATATATACATATATATATATAAACACACACACACACACGCACATCTAAATACAACAATCAAAAATTACTGTACAAAATAAAAGAACACTGTATGCCTTATCGAATACATATACATACAAGAAGAGAGAATCACTGTATAAACTAAAAATCAATTTCTGCGGACTCGAATACATATAAATACATTTACAATTAGGGTCATTACATATTTTTGTTCTCCTTTCAGCTTCAATGGTTGCTGATGAACCTGCAAATACAGGTTCCTCTTGAGTGATATACAAATTGGAAGATTGCCCTTCGAAAAGTGCTTTAGTGGGTATTCCGCAGAAACTTAATAATGGTGAATATTTAAAAAAAACGTCGAAGAGAAAAAGAAAAGCTTTAACCGTCCAAAAACTCAAAAACTTTAGTGGAGAGTGGTGAAAACATGTGTTGATGCTTTACGACTTGCACAATTTCATAGTTCTCGATAGAAGCAAGAAATCATAAATCACAAGGGAAAAAATTTGGTGTCACGCCTCCACGTCCTATGGAATTGGGAAAGAACAATTTTTAAAAGATGTTAAGAAAGCTTGTAGGAAATCATGAAAAAGCTCACTATTTTCATGGCCGAAGAGTAGTGACAACCATGGAAATCATGGAAAAGCTCACCCTTTATCAGAGGAAATAAGTTTTGTGGTTCATATAGGAAAGAATGAGTGAGAGATCGTGAGAGAGAAATAAGATACTATGCGTGATTTTGGGAGAGAATAAACTGAAAGAATGAGAGAGAAAAATATTAGATAACGTATTTAATGGCTTAACAGTAGGATATGATCATAAATACATATTTTGCTATAAAACTAAAAGGTAGCTATAAAAATAATATTTTAAAAGGATTTTTATTTATAATAAATAGAATAAAATTTCCATTCTTTTTCCAACCATGTGACCCGAATGGGACCGACCCAGCAGACCACAGAATGTAGAAGAATCCGAATACATGTGGAAGAGCGGAGACGTGTCTACTTTCCCTTTTATTAATAAGCGAAAAAAACCAAAAGGGAAAGGAGTTAGAACCAAACCAACGGTGTTGATAGGGCAAACTCAAAAACTCTGCCTTCATCTCAGTCGTCTCCCTTTTTCCCACTTTCTCCAGCGTCCGATCCTCCCTTTTCTCCCTCAATCCTTTCATTCTCCTCTCCTCGCGCCCAAATTACAAATCCCCAGGTTTTAATTTTATTTTTCAAAAATTCCCCCTCTCTTTTTCTCTCTCTACATTTCAATGGCTGAATTAGGGTTTTTTTTTCTTCTCTTTCTTTTTCCTGTTCTTCATCTTCAGCTTACTTACTGTGTTTTTTTGTGTGTTTTGTTTATAAGGTATGGCGGATGGACAAGGATCGTCAAGGTCACCGGCGAGTCCAAACGGAGGAGGAAGTCATGAGAGTGGTGGAGACCAAAGCCCTAGGTCTAATGTACGTGAACAGGATAGGTTTCTTCCTATAGCTAATATTAGTCGAATCATGAAAAAGGCGCTTCCTGCTAATGGAAAAATTGCAAAGGATGCTAAGGAGACTGTTCAGGAATGTGTTTCCGAGTTCATTAGCTTCATTACCAGCGAGTATGTTTTTCGATTTCCTTAATTTCCTAATTACGTATTGATTTGATCGTAACTGATTCGAATTGAGATGTTGTTTTATTGATATATTCATATATGCTACTTGCTGTGTTAAAATGTATCCTTTTACTTTGCTTAGACGGTAAAAGATTCATTTAATTGATTATGATCTCTTTTCTTTCGTGGCTTCTAGAGATTTACTTTATATGGTAGAAATTTGTCTTGTTTTCTTTTGTAAGTGAACCTCTCATTTTGAAGGGTGTGACAGAATGATTAACGAACTGAGCGGAGAAATATGGTGTCTTAGGTTCAAGTCTCAGCGGAGACAAAAATATTTGGTGATTTGTTTCTACCTACCTAAGCCTTGGTGGGCCTAGTACATCTGCTGGTGGGGTAGCAGTTATCAGGTGGATTAGTAGAGGTGCACAAGCGGGCTCTTCCACCACCATCATAAAAAAACATCTCAGTCTCAACTATTACTTACTTTATTAAAAAATGCATCTTATTTTTAACTTTGTGAGTTAGTATTACTGCGTCATACACAATTTTTCCATCTTCCTTTATTGTAATGTGTTGTGTCTGGATATGCTATATGCTATGGATATCAACCATTTCTTTTCTGTTTTGTCATTTTTGGAGAAAATTTTCTGGTTGATAAGTTGCATTTTTATTGTAAAATAGTTGATTTCCTTAACAACATTGTTATATTCCTGTTGGAATTGTCTAGGGCAAGTGACAAGTGCCAGAAAGAGAAAAGAAAGACTATTAATGGTGACGATTTGCTATGGGCAATGGCAACTCTAGGTTTTGAAGATTATATTGAGCCACTCAAGGTGTACCTCGCTCGGTACAGAGAGGTAATGATTACTACGTTCTTTATGTCAGCTTTCTCCTGTGACCCTTTTCAAACAGAGTATAAATTGACGGATTTGTCTTTTTGTGGTGTACCTGCTCGATGAATGGGTTGTTGCAGATGGAGGTAAGTGAATGTCTAATACAGTGTCTTTATAGTCATTTCCATTTTCTTCCCTTTTTTTGTTTTGCTTTGGGAGCAACTGATTCATTTGGTAGGGTGATACAAAGGGATCTGCCAAGACTGCTGATGGGTCTGCTAAAAGAGAAGGGATGCAACCTAGTCCTAGTTCACAGGTACTCTTTTGTGTTCTCAGCTTTTTTGTTCTTTTATCAGATTGGTGTCTCAAATTACAAAAGGAAATTGTTGAGTAAAATTCCATTAATTTGCTGTTGCATCATCTTGTTACAGCTTGCACATCAAGGTTCATTCTCGCAAGGAATGAATTATGGAAACTCTCAGGTAACTTTTTCTCTGTGTGTATACATGAAATTTAACTGCTGTATGTCATCTTTCAAAACACGTTATCATGCCTCAAAGTTTCAATCTTCACCTGTTATATAGGGGAAAGATGTTTCAGTCTTAACCACAAAAAGGGTTGCTTTGATGCATCAAGTTGGTTACTAGCCTTATCAATATGCAACTATAGCTTTCAGGAATTAGTCAGAGAATTTGCTTGATAGAACAAACCATTTCTGCTCATGGGATCGACATAGATATTATTCAACTTGTAACTAGATCTTTTATTCATCAATTGTTTCTCCCTGATCATTTTGCTAGCTTAGTGCTTTTCTTGCTTTTATATATCTCCTTATTACTGATTTAAAAAAACTGTTGCTCTTTGATGATCTATTTGAATGAAGTTATATTTTGTAAATTGAGAGAATCATGTGGGGAGGGGTGTTAAGGTTTGGTTGCAAATGTCGTTAGAGGAGAAAGAACTAGAATTTTCCGTACATCAGTGTGTTTGGATAGAGTTACAATACCACGACTTATGGAATTGGGATGGACTATAGCTACATTAGGAGAAAACATGTAAAAGTGCACCCACGGACTTGACATAGCGGTCAATGAAGTGAGAAAGGCCCTCAGAGGCCAAGCTACCGACAAGACAAAAATACCAGGTTATCTTTCCTGCCTGCTTAAGGCTTGGTTGGTGGAGTTTCTTGTATGTGTGCTAGTTGGGAGGTAACATGTATGCAAGTTGTTCCAAACGCCACCATTATAAAATATCATGTAAAAGTTGAACATTAGAAGAGTATTTTGAAGATTTTGCAATTTATCAAGTTCTTTCCCGTCTTAAGAAAATAGACCCTATAGAACTTTTTGTGGAGAACCGTTAGTGAGAAATGCTATTGCTAATTTCAACCTAACGAAATAAATAAAAGCAGAGAGTGTGATTTCCTAATTTAAATCCAAGTATTTTGTGCCTTTATTTTAATCATCCAATGATTGGTAAAGTTATGTAAGGCCTTTGAAAGACTCTGCTGGGGAGGTTTGTGTATATATTCTTTCGAGACTCGGGGCCTTGATGTAATTGATAACTTTAGAAGATGCCACAATTTGGCCGAACTGCAAAAGGTATTATCATAATTTATTCATTATGGTGCTGAATTGAAAATATACTTCTTGAAGAGTAAAGAGTAAAAGGAGAAAAATAGGAGGCAAATCCATATATGATTTATAGTACCTCATGGTACTCAACTAATGAAATTTACCTTATCTTATCCAACAAAAAAGAGAAAACAAATCCTTAGATGATGTAAAACAAAGGGTGATAAGATATAGCATTTTTGCACTT